CCTTCCAGCCTAGGCCATTCTATGTTCTATGATTTCTAAGTGAAGGAACTGTAAATGTTTAATTACAGACACAAGCGTGCCTGGGTCATGGAAGGATTTAATTTTTTTAAAAATAATTTAAATAATTTTGTTTTCTTGCCTTCTGAAACTGCAGCCTGCAGTTTTATATAGTAATCTCACTAATAACCCACTTTTCCAATGTCAGTATGAATACATGAATATGGCATAGTAATAAGAGCTCCCTTTGCTCCCTTTCTTAGAGCAGTTTTTGCTTGCAGAGAAGGTAGGAAGCAGCTTTCACCCAGCTGGTTACTCCTTTTTAGCCAATATCTTACTATTTGCCATGAACAGATCCATATGCTTCACTTCATCTCAAGCTGCTGATTACAGACAGAGGCATATTCTGCTGCCAGAGATCAAAAGGGGAAAGGTAACGATGGCTGTGCTTGAGCTCAGCTGGCAAGGGGTGGAAGAGTGATGCTGGGTGTGCAAACACACCATGAAAAGGTAGGGAGGGAGTCAGATTTTATTATCTCTGCCAGCACTCCTGCAACACACACTGGGCCTGCAACTAAAAGCAAAATCAAAACTTTGAGGTCAGCCATTCACCCATCTCCAGATCAGTCAGATCTGTTCTTCTCAGCATCAAGCATTTCATTTTCTGTGTTTTATTCCACTGCAAAGTTAATTCAAAGCACTGTGGTCTTGATGTCATATTATTTTAGATTCAATTTACATGTTTGGACCCTTTGGAGATCAAGAATAGAGAATGAGAACCAGTTCCTATATTATTTTTTACTTCTGAGTCCAAAATGTCCGCCTGTAGGTGAAGATTTTGTGGGCCAGCTATTCCTTGCACCGAGGGAAATGATGGGCAGCAAAGATATCTGCAGATGGGATTATGTTCAAAGGATTGTAAATAAAAGAGCAAAATCTAAACTCAATTACTAATTTGGACAAAAAAAATACATGTAGCATCAAACCACCAGAGCAGTGACGGGTAGGAACCAGGTGGACTCTGTTATACAGTGAGGAAAAGAATCTTTTTTCTTTGGAATAGCTGCCAGGAAATATGCTAGTTTCAGCTTTTGCATGAAATGATAGATGGGGGCTTTGAAGCCCAAATCTCTTTGGTTTCATTACTTCTCCCTTTGGGACATGGGTGCTATGAATGTTCATTTCTCACGTTGGAAATATTTGCCACGGGAAACTCCTAGAGTGGAGTTTGGAAAGCCATAAAAGCCCTAATGGCAGCTGAAAACATCAGTTATGTCCCAGCATTTGCTGAATCAAATTATTAAGTGCCAAGACAAATGAATGTTTGTCTCTGAGTCATTCCCAGTTTTTACAGAGTCCAGGGTTTACAAACTCCCTTCCTAGCAAGAAAATCCTCTCTACTTGAAAAAGAAACCACATTTTGGTGGCAGAAGCTTCCAAAATCTGTAACTGTGTTTTCAGAAGTCTTGCTTCACTCTCCAGCAAATTCTTTTCCTTGTCTCCTGGGCCAGTGAAATAACTGGAATATTTGCCTTTTAAAAAAAAAAAAAAGTTAGGATTTTTAAGTCTTAAAGCATAGGATAAAGAGCCTCTTCTACGGGGTTATTTAGTTAATCAATATTCATACACTGTAGCAGACCTCAAGAGCTAATCTGTGAAGAGTTATTTAATGATCCTGAACATCTGGCTTGAGAATCCAAGATTTCACTGGAATCATATTAAGACTCCTGCCATTAGAGCTTCAAACTAAGGGAGATAAATGCAGCAAAAGAATGAAGCATGGAAACGATGGAAACACAGTTCTGTCTGGCAAACCTGAGGGCTGAGATAATGAGGAGACGCCTTCTGTTTCCAGGGTTGTCGCTGAAGTGCTGCAGGCATCGGGTCATCTTCAGGGGGAAACACTGAGCCCACAGCAGCCAAGGTCTCTCTGCTCCTATGCCATGCCTGGCCAGTGGAGAAGAACAAGAAGGGAAGACCTGTCTTTGCTCTCAGTCGCCTCAAACACTGTCCCTGTGCTGGCTCAGAAGGGACCCCATGTGTTTGTGAGAGCCCCACATTCGTCTCTGTTGGATGTTAAATAGGAAAACACCAAGGCAAGTGGCTGGGTAAAGGCCAACCCTGACACCCTTTGCGCTTGTGCAGCCAGCAGACATACCCCAAAGGAGAATTGCTCACCCCTCTCCATTACATCTCCAGCCAGCACCTCCTCCTGTGAGGTGACTTGCCCTGCTGACTCCCACAGAAAGGATCTGAATAGAAAATAGAAAGTGCCTTCTCACCACCATTCAGCAAGCACCAGTCGTGCATCCCTCCCAGTATCTACACAACCTTCACATCACTGGTCACTCTTTCAGGCTCATCTACCATTTAGACAGGAGAGCCACAGCCCCTCTCAAAGTCCTTGCTGCTTGTGCCTTTTTCTCCTTAATTGGGGTCAAAACCCGAGTTTTCTGTGATTTCATAAGGATTAAGATTAGGCTTAGTTTCCTCAGATTCTCCATACCTCATCCCATCTCAGTGATTATCCCTTTACTTGGGGAGTAAAAACACGGGTTGACTGCCCCTTTCAGATGCAGCAGAAGAAACTGGGGCATTTTAGCATATGTAACTAATTTCCATCATTTAGCAGCACCTGTGGTGTCATGCTTTGCTGCCATATGCCTAAGGCTTTTTGAATAATTTAGAATCTCATTAATACTTAGAACTTGATTGAATAATTTAGAATCAATGATGGTGGCTCTCAGCCTTCCAGTTGGTCACATCCTGGTTTGTTCCCAGGATGTCTTTTGGAGTGCACCATTCCCCACCACCAAAATTAAGCCTGGGTGATATTAGTAGATTGTTAGTTTCAGAGGCTACTTTCTGGATGCATTAAAACTCCACCACCATTCCAACAGGCCCCTGGTGCTCTCAGTTCTCTCATGTCTCATCCTTGGACATGAAACCCCAGTCTGGTGCTCTAAAAACATACACTGCAGCACCCTGCACCACAACCCTCATGTTTCATCAGGCAACTGATGAAGGAAAGGAAAGACGAGGAAGGAAAGACAAGAGGAAGGAAAAACAAAACAACGAAGAAGAAATGGAGTAATTTAGGGCCACAGAGCACCCCAGAAGTCAGAGAGGAGCCTCAGCCAAATGCTAAGCAGGATGGTAAGCTTTGAACAACTTGAGTATGAGCCAGTCCATCGCATTGTGGGGCCAGGGATCGTTCCCTGGGTCTGATGCCTTCAGTAATGTTGTTTCAGCCGGGTACTGGTGAGGTGTTTCTCACAGGCCAGCGAGCTACTTGCTCCTGGGAAGGCTGGGTGTGCATGAGGATGTGTATGCGTTTGCAGAACTGCATTCTGCACTTGTGGCTTTCCAGAGGATACTAATGGGTGGTTCAAAAATATAATAAGGATATTATTATACATATATAATTTGATTCTTTTAGTCTGAAATAAGCCCTTGGTAAATTTTTATTTACTTGGCAGTGAACGTATAAAACTTGGTTTGGCAGTTGCATTTAGGAAAACACTGGGAACTCAAGCGAAAAATACTGCCTGGATGAGCAGGTTAAACTAATGCTGAGAAATGGGGCTCTGTGAATCTGAATTCAATCCAGTTTTTCAGAGCTACTTACACAGTCTCCTTCCACCCTTGGCCAACTGACAGAAATTCAATATTTTTCTTTTACTGAATGAAAAGCATAGTCAGAAACAGCCATTGGGTCAGGATCATATGCAAAAGCTCCTCTTGTGCTTTTGTTTCCTAATTGCTCTTGGAAGGATTTTTCGGACTGGGCTGACGCAGTTGTGTGTGTGAATTTCCTGGCAAATAAGGAAGGTGACTGTGTCCAAAAGACATTTAAGAGTGTGAATTCACAGCCCTTCTATGTCTAATCAAGGAGCATAAACCATTAGACACATGTTCTCCATTTCCATCACATTTTTTCACACTTAAACAAAAACATGCCAAAGAAAAGGTGCTACATTTTTTAATGCCCCCAAATAGGAACCACGGGAGTCCGTTAAACACTGTGGTCATTTCCAGCATACAAATCAATTTTCCTTGTGGTGGCGAAGTGGTGAATAATGCCTGGTTTGTTTAAAGGAGCATGACTGATTTTGGATGAAGGATCCTGTCACCTTGGCATTTTTAGTTTTATTTATTGCACGCAACCGTATAAAACCTGGTACTGGTCTCAGTGCCAGGCTTACTAGAGGAAAAGCTGAAAGGAACACATAACTCCTGGTGCAGCAAAGAGCTTCTCATTCTGCGTTTGCTGGACTCCTGATAAATTCTTTTGAATAACATGGCAGAGAAAGATTTCATCAGTTGGCATCTACTGGCTTTATTTTTTCTTCCATTTTGCCTGTGTCAAGACGAATTCATGGAGGTGAGCAGAAGATCTTATAAACCAGTGGCCAAAGTATTGCAAAGTCACCACCAGACTGGCCATAAAGGTTCCAGAAGCAGGGAAATATTGAAACAGCGGAGTCAACTTGTAGAGTGGACTGTTGATAATAGCACTTCTACAGACCATAATGTCCTGAGACCAGAGGTAGACGATGTAGAACTGACTACCTCAGACAGAGTCCAGGTACTCTGAATTAATCTTCTAAAGATGTCTTTAAAGCTAATGAGATCTTTTAATTTTTGCTAAGATTATTAGTGATATATTTGTGAGATTATTTTTGTTAAAGCTGTGCATTGGTCTGTATCTGGCTGGGTTGCTTTACAGGATCTTTTAATGAGCTGGTAGAAACAGCAGTGTTTGGGGACATTGGTTTCAAGATAGACAGCAGCCCTTTGTTTTGCTGAAACTGTGATCCTGTGCAATCACATATTCTGATACAGAGTCTCTTAACTGTTCAAGGTATTACTTATTTAATACGTTTTATATTTAGATTTGATATGTTTTAGATTCTGTTAATTCATTTGAATGTGAAGGAAAAATACAGAATTTACAGAAGTATTTTGAAAGATTCAGTTAGCAGAGGATAACTTGACTTGAAATTTATATATATAAAGAATATTTTTTGAGTGGGAGACAAAAAAATGAAATTCTGAAGGTTCAAAAATTTTATTCTAAGGAAAAAAACAGGTACTAATGTAATGAGTAGATATAAAGACATTTATCAACTTGGCAGTTTCAGAGAAAAAAGGACTCATAATGAAACTAAATTATCTGTAGTATCTGAGTTTTAAACTGAGAATCTTTTTATGTCTTTTTATATAGCATTTTAGATACTGTAGTCCTTGTCTCACAGCAAAGGTAAAATGGCATAATTTGACTATACGTAAAATATTGCAGTTCAAATTTAGAAAGAAAAGTCTAAAGGGCTGAACATGAAGATTTTCCTAGCACTAGGCAAAATAAAACTATACTCAAATGAACTTTTTGTTGAATGATTTTTTTAGAAACAACAAAAACATAAGTGTTTTTTCCTATTGCTTATAACTGAATCCTGTATAGCTCACCTTTTATCATTTGGTTTTTAAAACTCTTTCAGACCAAACAGTGATATTTTGAATTTCAAAATTTATGGACATGCATACAAGTGTTGAAAAATAACTACTTCATGATAAGCAGAAGAAGAGTTTTAATTTTATTCCTATGGCAGGCTTGAAGAATTGAAATACATCCAAGTATGGGAATAGGTTTAAGACACTGCTATATTCCCTGTATTTAAATTTTAGAGTGCTTTGCATTTCATATTTCTTAGGCAAGACTTACATGTTCCTCCACTGCACTCAGCAAAATAGATATTTCACTGTTAAGAATGTTAAACTGCACTTGCAGCACATGAACTGTATATAGTCCAATAAGCCGGCTGGTGCGTGCTTACCTCTCCACTGCAGAGAGAACTGCAGCTGCTTACTACAGACCACGTATTATTGGTACTTCAAGCAGACTCTCCTTTAACATAACATAGTTTCAGACAATGCAGAATTTAATGCAAAGTTACAACTTTTTTAGGGGTCAAACTCTCTCTCATGGGAAGCATCACTATGTTTGTGGTGCATGTGCTTTTCGTGAGAGAGTTTAATGCAACATGTCTGGAGTTGCTTGCTGGCAGAAGAGGTTGTGACATTAAAATCAAGCCCAGTGAGCTTGAGTACAGCTCATGGCAGTAATTTACCTGCCAGACCCCCTCTAAGAAGCAATCTTTTCCCGGGAAATGATGCAATTTTTGGCTTGCTGAAATGAAACGGAGCACTAGCAGATGCATGACAGGGATAATCCATCACAGGGTGGCTGACGCAATAGGTATTTTCCATCTCCAGACTCCAGGGGTTTCCAGGGAGAGGAGACAAAGGTGGCACAGATATGTTTTAATTTACGTCAGACCTCTCTTTTTCCCTTGAGCTATCTGAAGGCTGTTTCACCTCTAAGTCCCTACATTCCTCGTTATTTTAACTCTGACTGGGGAAATTCACCGTCTTGCTAAAGTGTTTTAATGGTCCCACTCCCCGTTGCAGAATAGAGACAATAACATTTGTCTTTGCAGCATTGGGTACAAGGCCAGTTTCCACACTGCTGTTAACTTACGTAAAATGTACTGTGCATTTCTCAAGCATGAGAACGGGGAAGAGCCACCCCAGACACAGTTTGACTTTTCACGTTGCTCTTTGAAAGCTTTCAGGCACCCCTCATGATGTTTTACCCTGGTTTTTGGCAATTTTGGTTTGTTTAATTCTCTGCTAGAGAAGGGGAATGAGGGTATTGGTGCCCACAGAGATGTTGTATTTTCTATTCACTACAGGAGCTAAGAACAGTGGATGTAAATTATTTGTCTTCTGCATTGTCTTAGACAATATAACAGAAACTCCTAAAATTAATCAGGAAATGAAAAAGGGCTGGGTTCACAGCTTTAAGTCAAGGGAATTTTATAGACCATCTGTTGCCTACAACTGCCTCCTACGTATTAAATCATAGAAAATTCAGCAAATAGCTCCAGAAATATTTCCAGTTTTCTATCTGCATTAGAATATCAACATGGCAGTTGATCCTAAATCATATCCGTGTTCTGAGAGTAATGCCAAAGACTCATTGTGCAATAAAATTTATGTGCAAATGGCTGCACAGGACACCTTTGGCAAGCAGGTTATAATTAATGTTTCTGTCTCATTTGAGTGTAATTTTACTTCAGGAACAGTTTTTTCCCTTACATATACTCTTCATGAAGTTCTCTGCTGTCAGAAATTTAAAGAGTACCCTGAATATTCATTGTTCTTGGCAGCTGACTGAACGTTTTTTTCCTCATGGTCAAAGAATCAGTTAAGATAATAAGTTAATACTACTTTATGACTTCCAGAAGTAGTTATTTTGAAGTCAGTGGAACTGTTCTCATACAACCAGGCTGGCAGGACTTGCCTCATTTCACACATAATAACCTGCTGAGCTTTTTGAGAGGCAATGCCAAATAGCATTTGGTTACGACCAGTACTAATATCTATTTTATGGTGACATAGCTGGTCAGCTAATAATGTTGTTCAGGATTTCAATGCATGGGGTAAAAGACAAATCATACCTGCACAGAGGGAGTCTTGCATGCAGTCCGGTTTGCTGGATTCATGCCTGCCCTTGCATACAATGCACAGTTCTAGGTCTTTGGATATTTTGAGGCTGAAAATGCATGATTTTGACAGGTGTGTATATAATTTGTCTCTGATTTAACACGAATATGAATCACTATCAAAAAAGAGCTTGAGATTTTGATCTCAGTGCAACATTCAATATCACCATTTTAGATAGTGTGAAATGCTTGCACAGTTCCAGTACTCTTGGGCTTGGCTCCACTTCAAGGGCTTAAAATTAGCTGAAAGCAGGGCAACATCTTCTCTCATATTAGGAAAGCTTTAAACAATGTGTCTGGTGATTGTCGGTTATGTTCTTCCTAAAAACTGAGAGATATAAAACATCAAGAAAGACATGAATGTGTTCTCCAGGAACACACAGTTCAACAGACAGAACTCATTTTTCTCATAAAGTTTCAACCTTACCCGGAATTAAGCTAAAGAACATATTTTTGACCAAAACCTCATAAATATGAATCCCTTCTGCCCATTGCTTAACACTTTCATACCTCTTTGAATATGAAGCATATCTGTTGAGTGGTCAGGTCAGCCTTTATTTCTCTGCCAAATCCACTGCCAGAGGTTCCATATGGAGAGGGCCCATTGGATGAGTTGCAGAATTTTGGTGACAGGAAAGAAGTTTTATGTATCCATAAACACATATTCCAAAGCCTCTTGAAATTAATGAATTCTGGGGGTGTGGTTAGTATTGTTCAAAACATGTGCAGAAAACTTCAGTGCTTCAGATCAAGCCAGCTGGTGACCCTGAGGGCAGGAATCATCTGAGGGTCACCTTGAGGGCAGCACATCTACATACTCATTCATTCCCCTTCCACCAGACAGATTTGCTGCCATTAAACCTATACAGGTCTACTTTAGGCAAGTAATTTGAGGAAGTTAAAGATGAATTCAAAGAAAGGGAACAAAAATAGTATGGTGGGGTGATGGACTAGATGATCTCTAGAGGTCCATTCCAATGCCTAACATTCCATGATTCTGTGAATGACTAGAGAAAAGTAATAGTCAGATTGGTGTAACTATACCCATCCAAAATTTAAGAACTGCAGATTTGCACCTCAGCATAATAGCAAAGAATTGTAGGGAACAAGAAACAAAGAGAGAGAAATGAGAAGGAGGTAGAGATAAAATCAAACCATGGATCTCTACCTCAATTGACCTGTCAGAAGATTCATGACCAAGAAATCATCACAAGAGCCTAGTTAGAAAATCTAGCCAGGATTGAATGAGACTCCATTAGTATAAACACAATAATATGGAAAGAAAAGCACTGAAACAAAACTCTTATTGAACTATTATTACAGTAGCTGAGCTGTGTATAATAAACCCATTAGCTTATTTATGCTGGTATATTAGTTTCAGCATGCAACCAGATTTTCATAATTACACAGCCATAACTATATATATAATCAAATGCTCCTAACACCAATTGTCGTAGTCAGTTCAAACTTTTGTCAAATATCTTGGGGCGTTTTTAGGTTCTCCCAAATTTATCAGTCTATAAATATGCAAGTCCAGGGCCATGAATAGGAATATGCTGCACAGACATTTTTTAACATCTCCTCCGGGTGGTCCAACACAGTTTTCTTTACGTTTAGTGGAGGATAGTTCATTGCTGAAGATAAACGAAGTCCCCTCTGTCCTACCTCTTGTTGTACACAGACTTATCTGTCAACAAACGTCAGCTGAAATGTAGGATCACTGAAAAGCAGGACAGGAACCTAACTGAATTATTCACCTAACTTTCATTACTTGATATTATTTTCTTTTCTAAACCCTCATTATTTGACAGAACAAGTTGGGTTTTTTAATATTCACACAGTTCTTAGAACACTCAAAGAGGTACTCCCTTAAATCTTCCAAAAATAACACCTTCAGGGACAACTCAATTATGGGAGATTTCGGCTCAGATAGGAAGTGTTTTGAAAACTTATCAAATATATAATTAAGATGCTGTAACCAACATGCATATGATTGATGCACTTGATGAATGAGTTATTTAAAGCTTGTTTTTGTGCACTTAGCCCCCACAAACCGGACCGCAGAATCCAGACTGTAGCTCCTGCTGCCGTGGTGACTTTGGCGTTCGACTCTACCAAGGGCCCCCAGGACCTCCTGGGCCTCCTGGGATGCCAGGTAAAGATGAATTTTAATGCATTTTTTGAACAGTCTAATTACAGGCTATAAATTACAGGCTATAAATTACAGGCCATTCATATCAGAGAATGATCCAAACATCAGTGTTTGGGGATATACTCAGGAAAAAGCTTTTCTATAATTTCTGGAGAGACAGAAACACATTTCAATTAGTCTAAAGTTTTTTCCAGTGAAAATACATTTGATATCAAAATTCAGTTGTCACAAATTTGTACTGAAAATAATCTTATCACATTTTTAGGGCAAATTGGTCTCTCTTCTTAAAGCAGCATGAAGCTTCCATTAAAGCTGGAAGAACTTATTCCCTGGAGTTGATTATTGTGATCACCTTTAAATACCCAGCTCTGCTACTGTGCACTGTACTCATGAGTGGTTTTTCATCTAGCATATTGCTAGTCAAAATTTTACAGACTTGCTTTTATTATGTCAAAGCGATTTCTTTTCCTTCTTTCTTCTTGTCTTCCATAAAAAAAAGTTGGCATGGAAAAAAAAGAGCTTAGAGAAGGGAAAATAATAGTTTCATGTCTGTATAAGTTTGTTGCAGCAGATACTTTTAGGGATTTGAAAATCACCATTCCTAAAGCAGATGTATAATGTAATGAACACGTCACTGACAGATTTGTCAAAAGCTTACATCTTCGGTTATCACAATAAAAATGCTATTCCATAATCCTTCTGTCTCACAAATGCACTGAGAGTAATACATATGACAGATAACTGTGCACACACAAAAAAAAATGTAGTGATTTTTGCTAGGAACAGTTTACAGGAACATTTCAATTTTACTGTTATAAGTTAAATATAAGTGAATGAAGTGTTTCGAGAACTAGCTTCAGCTGGCATGTTACTGAAATAAATTGTTACTTTGACATCTTTGGGGTATTAGACAGTATAAAGTCATAGGCATATTTGTATTAGCCTGCTGTGAGCTATTCATTAAGCCCTTTATAAAAATACTATTGCTCATTACAAAAGAAAGAGAAATTTAATTCTGAAGCCTTTTGTGGAGAAATATTGCATTATGCATTAATAAATTTTTGGCCTCTTAGAAGCAGGACATGATTTTGTACTATACGCATGCGTTCGAGGCTGCAGTGGGACACAGCCAAGTCCCAGTTTTGCCCTTTCTTCATGTGAGGATGTGTCTCTGTCACACTTTCTTGTCACCACAGGAAGCCACAAGTGTGTGGCCAACAGCAATGTTCTGCACCCTGGATTTTCTCTGTATGCTTCTGCTGTATCACTTGAATTCATATCATTGTGCCCATAAGGGGAAGAACAAGAGCTGTCTTCCACTTGATTGAATCAAATGTCACTTGCAAGCTTCTGTTTTGGTGGAGAAGTACTTCAGGCTTACGTAAAGGATCATTTTTGTTTTTAAGAGCTATTGATCTCTCTATCCAAACAAAATTTTGCTGTATTTCTTCCACCATTTAGCTTCGTTGTTTGAAGCAAACAGTTTTCTCAATATAAAAACTCTGAAGAATCAATTAACCATTAGATTTGATCTCAGCAAACACCATTCTTCTTGTAAATTCGCAACCAGAGCGACTAATCAGAGAACAAGCAGAGTGGCAAAGAGTCTGATTTCAAATCAGATAAATTCTGAACAATTATGACACTAATTAATTCCCACAGTAATTATTTGAAAGGTCAGGCTTTTGCTTCAGGTAGGCACGTCAATTGCTTAGTGATTGCAGACCATTTAAAAATTTTGTGAGTCACATAGACATTTACTCACTAATTTCCTTAGTAAACATCAGAAAGTAATACTGCAGATGCAGAAATGTGTTTTTATAATGACTCTTTCTACAAGAAACCAGCTCAGCAAAGCTTCATTATAAAAATTTCATCTTTCTTTAAATCTAGGAACATGCAATCAATCAACACCTTCAAGGTAACCAGCACTGCGAGAACGCACACTCTCCTGTTTTAGGTACAGACGAGTCATTTAGCTAGCTTAAGGCTACAGCCATTCTTCATTTGTGTAGATATGTTTTAAAGATAGCAAAATAATTTTCAAATCCTAATTTGCTTACATTGTCAGGAAATAAGTTTTTACACAAAAGAAAAAGCAAGAGTGCTTATCCAGGCTAGCTGATATGTGTCAATAGGCAGTGGCTTTCACTTTCTTTGAGCCTCAATACCACTGAGGCATACTTCCCCAACAACTTAATGAGCTGAGACATCAGCAGTTGATGCAGCAACACCAAGATAGCATGAGGGTTAACTCTTAAACATCAATCTACATCCTTCTGGAAATTTGCTCATCAAAACCTTCACCCTCAGTTTAACCACACAGCTGTTTCTTATCCATCACAGCTCAATCTCAGTTTTATCATACTGAAAATTCCGTGAGTTGCAAACTGACGGAAAAGGACCCTGCCTCAGTTATCTGTTAAAATATATGAAATTACTTAAATTAAACAGAAAGCTCTGTTTCCTTTAAGGAAATCATGGAAACAATGGAAATAATGGAGCCACTGGCCAGGAAGGAGCCAAAGGTGAAAAAGGAGACAAAGGAGATATGGGACCGAGGGGAGAGCGTGGCCATCATGGACCCAAAGGCGAGAAGGGTTACCCTGGGATTCCCCCAGAACTACAGGTACAAAATCTATGGCTTGTGTTGGCTGCAGGAGTTCTCAGGTTATGGTTTTCTTTTATGAAAAACAGCACCTAACTACTATATAATACTTAAGAAACAAACCCTCCTGTAAATTAATACAGTGAGTGACATATATAGTCCTTGTCATGACTGATGAATGTGCTTTGCCTGGAAAAGAAAGATATCAGGGCTTGGTCTTTCTTTAAAGTAAGAATCCAGCTGATAAATGGGCAGGAAGAAATATTTATGGTTCTCTTTTAGGGCAGAAAGACCTATCATTAAAGGAGAATAGCAGAGACTTCCATTATCCTATCAAGTTGTATCACATACTAACTGTGCTTCCTATGGTATATAAATGATCCACCCAGGCTCATGCTTCTCAGGTCAGTCAGGCTTTGTGAGGTTCTCAGAAGCATAAGTATTCAACCTGTCAACGTATGGGGTCAAAACCTCTGAGTGCAGACAGAAGACCTCTGGATTTGAAAAAAAATAGACCTCAGTAGCTAGCTGCTTATTTATATGCCTAGATACCTTAGATATGTTGAGAAGCATGCAGGTTCTTCCTGCGAATGAACTACCCAAAAGCCTGATGAGCATTAAAACATATGCTCAAGCCTGAGCTGATAAGCTCTGGTGGGCTATATTTTTCTGGGTTCAACACTGTGTTGGTATAGTCACAGCTTTTGGAATACAGCTCCTTCATGTTCCAGAAATTTGGCAGATGGGGCGGCAGCTTGTGTATGTATGCTTGTGGTACGGTGGAGATGTGGTGTAGTCCTGTTCTTAACACAACAGAAAGTAAACTGGATAATTAAGACTCTTGGTTGCTGTTGCAAAGGGGATTTAAAAGAGTTGTCCACACTGTATCCTGCAGCGTAGCAACCTATGAGCAGTTCATCTGCAATAGCAGGAAGACTTGGCTATCTCTGTGATGTAGAACAGCTAAGATGCTAAAGGCAAGATTTAGATGTATGTCAGGTCTTTGAGATGTAACCTTCCTGGTCTACAGCTGCCACTGTGGAATGGGCTTCTGTAGGTCAGATCAGACAGCCCTGCATGGGGAAACCCTGAAACACTTCAGATAGCACTAGATGCATTTGCACAGGCAAGTGATTGCAGCCAGATTCAGCTCCAGAGAGTCTGCATATGAGGAAAGCGTCTGCACTCCCAGTACAATTACTAAGGATCTAGAAGAGCTACGCAGACTAATCTGTCAGTCACTGCTGCTTTGGGGCAAATGGGGCTTCAGACACCACAGAGTATATAGATCTCCAGAAACTATAAGGGAGTTTATATTCTAACTCACATGTACGCACTTTAATTGAAGTGTTCTCATCTTAGTCTGACTCATACCACAGAAGGGACAAAATGCAGTACAGCAAATACACAGAAAAAGAAATCCCACTTGAAAACACTCAGACTGAGGGGAAAACTGTACTCACCTATTTACTGATCTATACTTCTTAATTGAAGGATGCTGTTTCCCAATAAGTCATTCATATATATTTTATGACTTCCTAAAACACATGCAAATTGACAGCAAAATCAACAGTACCACCAAAGTGTTCAATGTGGGAAAATGACTTTGGATTTCTTGGCATTGTGCATGTTTGAATTCTCCATCTTAGGCTGCATGAAAACAGGAAATTTGCACAGAATAAAATTTATAATGAGAATAGTTTCCAAAATTGCTGGACTTCCGTAGCAAAGACTGATTATTTTAGCATTCTTACAGAATTAACTGGAATTAACTTTATAGATTAATATCTTAGAAACACACTTTTTGTAATTACATTCAACATAAGTCCTTCTGCAATTCAAAACTGAAGTATCAGATTCTTTTTCTTAAATTAAAAACTGAATAATGAAAGAGGATCAATAACAAAGACTTATACAGCAATACCTATTTCCAAGTAAAATTGCATCACTGTTTTTAACAGGTGTGTTTAAAAACTCTTTATATGGCACGACGGCATATAATTTCTTAACATCAGGCTTAGGAAATTTAGAGTAGGGGTATGCAGAGAAAAAAATATTTTTGAATACAATACTGTTTTGAGTACTGGATTATTTTGAAAGACGTGTTGTACCCATGTTGATCAACTACTTTATGTTGATCTGAGATCTAGGGAGAAAGGACATCTTTTTCAACTCCTCTGATCAGTTCAAGAAAAGTAGCTTGGAGTCAAAGACAATGTGAAATGGAACCTAGACAAAAACCAATAAATTCCATCAAGCTACCATTATAGCTGCTTTCTTTTAACACATGATGAGTTTTGATGTGATCCTGGCTAATAAGCAAGGAGAACAATTTGCCATCACAGAAAACGCATTCATGCAGGGATAAGGAAAATCAGCCCAAGCTTTCAGCTCACATCTGGAGCTCCTCAGATTTCTGAGCAGATGGCTAATCACTTCCATTGTTGGATCCAGACTTGCATTTCATTTTGCCTGTTTTGGTCTTGTACTCATTTGGATCTGAATTCAAAAGAAGTTTGAGGTGCCTTTTTTTTAATACCAGCACAGCTGGGATATCACTAAAAACCTCGAGGGTTCTGTGAGGGGCAGTAACAAGCGTAAGAAGTGTAAGAAGTTAACAGATGAAGACAAAATGCAGAGTCACTATGTGATCTCCTGTCATCCAAGTGCAGCAATTCTGCCTGTACCCCCTGTCCTGGGTTTGAGCTAAAACCCA